ATATCCATTAGTTCCTTTTCCCTCCAAAGCACACCGTTTAGCCCTGTGCAATATATATTGCTAGAAAATCAAGATCAACAACAACAAGCCCCCAGTTGCACTCAGCAGTCAATAAATGGCACATTTGACTCTCTCTCATACTATTTTGTACCAAGTTCTCACACAACTTCTGCCCTGACACCTCATCCATCAGCTCTTAAAGCACAAGAGCAGCACCCCACAAGCAAACCTCTTCTCTCCTACGCCATCTCCAGAGTTGAGGCCCAGATGAGAAACACCCTTATCTTCCAATACAGCAAGGATACACCTCTAAAATCAGACCTTGGCAATTTGGCCTAAAGCTATCCTTACTTGCAAAACAAAGTCTCCATCATCTTCAGAGCAAGAAGGAAAGAGAGTGAGAGGGAAAACGGGGGTGGGGGGTAGGGGGGAAAGTCCAGTCCTCTCTGACCTGATTGGAAACTTTGTTGTGGCAAAAAGAAAAAAAAGAATCTCTTTGGCCAGTTGAGAAAGTGCCTATGGTTGCTCTTGTATTGGGAGGGTCTGTTCAGGGTTTCTCAATCTTCTTTTCTCTCTCTCTCCCCCCTCTCTTTCTCCCCTTCTCTTGTTTCAAAAGGGGCCTCTGGTCAGCGCTGATTAATAAGTGTTTTTTGTTGTGAAGTGTTGAATAATAGAAGATGGCCAGTGACCCAGGAAAGACTAAACCTTGTGCTACTTTATTGTGGCAAGCTGAGAAAGGGGCTTTAGGACAGAGACCCCAAGCACTGACCCGCACACATCCTGTGGATTCCCTATTCATTCTCACAGCCTTCCAGTCGCCCAGAGCTCCCATTGTTTGCCAAGCAACAATGGAGATTTTGCACAGAAAGTAAAGCTCTCTTCGGATTCCTCCCTGATGTTTTGCATTTGGGGAAACAGCCATTCTTAACAGGTTTTCTTTTCCCCCTATACTGAATTTCATGAAAACTCTTAGGATTTGGGCTTATTCTCATTACTCAAGCCTTTCTCTACAAATCTAAGAAAACAAACATTTTCTCTTAATAATACTTTTTTTAAATTATTTTTAATTACATAAAACATTTTTCCTGGGGTACTGCTTCCCTAACGATTTAGGGGGGAAAGTGAAGTTTCTTTTCTTCTATTTCTTAGTATATCAGTATATTTTAAAGCACACTACATATCACTGTAATTCCTAAAAATAGCAGTATTCAAGCACACTCTTTTTTGAGTGAAAGCCAACTGGAGAGTGCTGCTTCTTAAAAAAAAAAAAAAAAAAAAAAAAAAGGCAGAAAATTGAAACCTCTTAGTTTATTTCTGTCCTGATTAGGTAAGCCTAGCTTTTATGTCCTCAAAGGCTGGCCCTTTCCCCACACTCCAGAGTTCATCCACAGCCATCAAGGAGGGCAAATGCTACTCCATAGACTTGCTCTGATTTACCTGTAGGGTCCAAACCACATTTCTCATTCCAACCTAGGCATTTATTTGTAGTCTAACCATGTGGATAAAAACTCTTGCAGCTGTCGAGCCTTTGGGTAGAAGAACAGTTAGATGGATCAAAGGCCTCAGGATCTCAGAATTTTGTCTAATTGCTTTCTCTGGCCTGTTATAAACAGATTTTTATTCCTCTATGGAATCCACTTACACATGTCACCAAGTGGCTAGGAGGTTTTGGTGTTTGGTTGTGCCTTGCATTTGCAGGTTTTGTGTCTTCTTGTGAATTTACTAGGCATTAAAAAAACAAAAACAAAAACCCCAAACCAAAAAACAACAGCACGCACAACCAACCAAGAGCAGGAGGAGGTTGCAATCAATAGGACAAATTCCTGTTAAATTGCTAAGAATGGGATTTCTTCTCCCTCAGTTATTTGAATTTATAACTGGCTGAGCATTATAAGTCCTGATAAGAAACCATTTTATCAGGACCATTGGTTTCTCTCGGTCTCTCTAGACCTGCTTAGGGAGGTCTAGAAATCCACTCTTTGGAGGTGAGGAAGAAAAGACCAGTCTTTCAGAGGAACCTTTAACAAGTGAAGGGGGAACAACAGTCTTTATTAAGGATATTGGGTAGCAGAATTACCTTGGCGGGGGCGGGAGGCGTTGTAAAACATCCATGTGCAAAAGGCTCTCAGGCTGAAACCCTTTCATCGGTGGCGAGGGGAGGGGGAGGCAGGGCGGGGGCTCGCAAGCCCCCAGCTATCTCCATTTGTCAGTGCCACAGAGGAGGGGTCGTAAAGCCAGCGGTGCGGAGGGGTGGGCTGCCCGGTGGTCCGCCAGCCCCGCACACCCAGCGGCTGATGCCCGAAGCGGGACGCGGCTACAAGTGCGCTGAGCGCGCCGGGCTCAGCCCGAGGCAAGCCGGCCTTTCACTTTCATGCCCACCACATCAACGCTAGGAAGAAGGGAGTGGGGGAGGGAGAAGAGGGGGGGTAGGGCGAGCGCCTTGCCGTATTGTTCCACTGCCGAATTGATATGCTAATTCCCCTTGTGAGGGCATCACAAAGAACACCTTGCACTTCTGAAAGACTTTTGTGTCCTGGACGGAGAAGTTTATTATCAACTAATTAGCAACAACTTCTAGCAATGAGTAGGGTTACATTTTCATAAGCTTTGAACAAACATCCTGAGCTGCGTTGTGTCAGGATGATGGGCTTGCTAAGGAAAATAGAGTCCTAAATCAGGGAATGAGCTTTAATAATTAGCGCCTGCTATATGTGGAACCTCTGTCGACGTAGGTCTTCTTCCGAGGCTTTTGATTCACGTTACTTCCAGGCTTGCAAAGGACCATGACAAGCACTCTACAAAACAAAATCTTACTCAGGCATGACTAGCCATTTTTTCCTTCATAATAAGGCTCTTTTCTTCCAACCAAAGAGCATTTTAGACTACCCCGACAATGCACCAAGGATAATAAGTACATAAAGATGCTCAGCACAATTAAACATATTCATATTAAATATTATTTAGAGAGGTTTGTTGCAGGCAGTCTAGCACTTCAAATATAAAAATCGTCTGGGAAAAAGGAAGGTCATATTTGAAATTACAAAAAGGAAACACCCATAAATTTCACAATGTTTCTCTTAGTTTGGAGGTTTTGTTTGTGATACTCCTATTATAGTCTTTCCAAAGAAGGAAGAGCGGGTTTCAGTGCTAGGTTAGCTCAGTCCTCTTCCTCTGGACTTTCTGTATCTTTGGAAGCAAAAGGATATGGTGTTTCCTTGGTTGAAAGCAAAACTAGGAAAAAACAAAAGGACTTTATTTTTATCACTGTAGTAAGTTCTAGTTATTTTCTTATTGACTTTATGCAATCAAAATAGAGCAGAAAAAACCCTCTGAAGGTAAGGACGTTTTAGGGTTTACTGATAATTCTTACTGACTGGGAACAACATACTTACAGCTTCACATTATACTGTGAGGTTTTGGCTTTTGAGGTGTGTGATTTGGAAGAGGGAGGAGGTGAGTGGGAGTATCATACTGCAGTTCAAATCAGTACTAGGTTGATTTTGGAGTTTATACATCGGGCTCCAGTGTGGCCTTCCAAAACCTGTCCTGGTCCTGAGGAAGCTACAAGCCTTGGGCCCATACTGGGATGCAGAAGAAAGCAGATCAGCTGTGGCTGCTTTTGAGATTCACCTTATTCTCTGCTATTCCATTCATTTAATGGGTAAACACATTCTCCATCACTTGGTCTCTTTCTGTCCCCTTCTCCAAGCAAATTCATTTGTTTAAAATCCTAAAAGGTGGTATAAGGTCTTATTGAAACCCAGCAACGTAAGGGGTGGGAGTGGATTAGATTCCTTCATTTCCTTTCAGTAATCCTAAATGCAGCTATCTCTGGTTCCTTAATCTCCTCTAGAGTCGGATTACCACCCATTTGAGCAAGTGCAGCTGGAATTAGGAGATGACAAGCATGCAAAGAAAGTGCCAAGAACTCCTGAGGTGACCAAGATGTCGGGGTGGCCCTGGCCACCCCGCAGCGCTGAGGGGTCCCCCAGGGCCCTGGGCCATGGAGCAAGGGGACAGCAGGTGGCCCTGGGCCGGGCAGTGCCCACCGGCCCCCAGTGCCGACCGGCCTTTCTTCTCGCTGTGGTTCTGCAGCTGCAGGGCCACCGCTGGGTCGCTTTGGCGCTTCATTTGCCTCATGACAGACTTCTGCCAGCCCCACGGCTCTCTGATATGGCCAGGCTAGCCACACTCTGCCATACAGGAATATGTAATATATATATGTACATATGTACACATGTACGCATGGATGGTTGTTCCCACATTTGCCAGAACAAAGAATTGACATAAAACAGTCAGTGGAATGTGGTGTAAGTTCGACCTTGCTTATGCTTTTCTCTGTCCACCTGGAAAAAAAGTTAGCACACATTAAAACACATGTATGTGTGTGTGGTTACTTTTTGAAACAATCCCTCGTATTTGATTGAAATGGAATATGCTACCATGTATATTTAATATTAAAGCTTTATTTTTAAAGGCCTGTAATCCTTTCAAGGAGATTTTGTTGATATAAGACTTCATCAGAAAGTAATTGTGGATTGTATAGCTCTGACCTTTGCAGCTAGCAGGGTACAGGTCTGCACAGCTGAGAAATACTGTGCATCAATTTCTTGGGAAGCCCCTCCAGACCAGTTAAGTATGCATACAAGTTCAAGAATTTATTTAAAAGGTTGCAATTAGTGGTTCAGTTGTCAAAGTTGGGGATGTGGTATTTTTACTCTGAGTGAAATACATGATTTAAATATACTTAAAAAAAAAAAAAATAAGGCCAGGCCTTCTACACAAATTGGAGGCAGCTAAATGCTCTTTTGTGCCTGCAGCTCTAAGGAGGCTGTGATGCATGTGAAGGAAAGTGACTGACTTAACTCATTGGGATTCAGGGAACGACCTGCCCTCTTTTGGAAAAAAAAAAAAAAAAAAAAAAAAAAAGGCAAGAAGAAGAAAAGTAAGTGTGTATGTGTGTGTATGCGTGTTCGTGTTCCTGTATGTGTGTGTGAGAGAGAGAGAGGAGAGAGAGAGAGGAGGGGGAGACTCACACAGAGTCCTGCTTTTCTGAGCTGAGAGCTGACGGTTCCTAAGCAGAAAGTATTAGGAGAAACACAGCATCTTGTCTCTTTGCTGCATTTACACAATGAAATCACTTCTATTTTTATTCCTGCTAACCGGCCGGTTTTGCTTGAATCTACTCCGAGCGATGGACAATGGAAACAAACAAGTACTTAAAAACTACTAGGAAAAAAACATAAAAAAAGGAGGAGAAAAACCCAAACAAACCCAACCACGCTGGGATGAGGATTACTCACTTTAGCGCTGGCTGTAAGTACGAGGTCTCTTGCTGTATTTCAGAGCGATAGTGACAGGCTGTTGTTTAGGTTGGGGTTGCTGCGGTTTGTTTTGATTTTTTGTTGGTCTACCTATTTTTTTTTTTTTTTTCCTATCACCCCCTCTCTATCAGTCTTCTGCCGACTTACTGAGATAAGAAAATAAAAGCGGGTGAGGGACGGGTGGCTGAGCGGAGCGCGACGCGGTGGCAGGGCAGCAGCCGGGGCTGCGGGGCTCCGCTGGCGCGGAGGAATGTCCGGAGCTGGCAGTGCGGGGAGCAGAGGACTGTTTTCGGCATCACTTTGTGGGTTTAACTGAAATGAAAATGTGAATTTTTTTTTTCTTGGCACGGGAATTTGCGCGGCTGTGTGTGTGTACATACACATCCCCAGGCAGTGTGGACTGCTCGGGTCTGTGCAGTGCATCGTGCGTCTGCCCAGCTTGAAGGAATGCGGTGGTCAAAACAGCTTTCCAGATGTTTGGCTTTTTGGGATTCCAACTCCCCCTCCTTCCCCCCCCCTTTCCCCCCCACGCTTCTCAAGTGTAAATGTGATAGTGATATTTTTCCCTGTAAGGATTTGCTTTAAATAAACTACGACCAGAACTGTCTCCCTCTTGCCTAACCTAGTTGCTTTTCTCCCCCTCCCTTTCCTCCTTTCTTTCTTTATTTCTGTGAGAGCGCTCCTGGGAAAGCGGATCGGTTGGAGGGGAAGGCTTTTGAAATCGTGGGGGAAAATGTAAGAGAACTGAGAGGGCCCGGGCTTTCTTTGTGTGGTGCTGAAGCCGCGGAGCTGCTTTGTGCTTTGGAAGGAGAAAATGGCGAGTCCTATTGTGTTTAGGCCATTTTCTTCCGGTACAAGGGTTTTCCCCCAAATCTTAAATACTTCAGGGCTCTTTTGAAAGAAATCTCACAGCCTACGAAGTGTGAATGGCTTCAGCTCTTCCTTTTCCCCAGCCGGCAGCACCTCACATTCGAGAGATCCCACACATTTCTCCTTTGCAGGGCTAGTGCACAATTTCTAAAGCTGCTGCATTCAGACCCTCTTTCAGCGGAGGGGCTATTTCAGCTGCTCTTTGCCCGCGTTATTCAACTCAGGAGAGCAGGTTATGAGAGAAGTGGGGACTGAAGAAATAACATTACGAGACCTATCCTTCCTTTTAAATGTTAAGGAGCAGCGTTAGCCAATTGTGTGTGTGTGTGTGTGTGTGTGTGTGTGTGTGTATGTGATCTGAGAAAAGATTCGTGAACGACAGTGTGACTTTTCCACTAAATTATTAAAACTTTATGTATACATACATATATGCATATGAGACAGAGAGTGTGTCTGTGTGAGCGTGCATGTAGCCATGTAGCAAGATCTTTCTCTTAGGTTCGGAAAGAGGCCATATATACGTAAACTGAGATTTTAGCGCACATTTAACCACTGTGTGCAAGATATTCCTGTTGCAACTTGCAATGCAAAAAATAGTGTTGTCAGTTCTTTTCAGGTCAACCCATAGGTAGGCACCGGTTACCAAAAACAGCTTCTGAATTTCCACGTTAATCGGTTTAAGGAAACAAATGAGAGTCCGAGGTTTAAACACTCTTGTCCGATATTAACCACTTTACATTAGAATGTGGGCTTGCCCAGGCGTCAGTGATTAAAAGCTCCTTGAAACAGGAGAGCCCAAGAAAGGTAAATCCTCACCACCACCACCACCTCCCAAGGTTCTGAATTTAAAAAAAAAAAAAAAAAAAACAAAAAACAAAAAACAAACAAAAAAAACAAACAACACTTTATTAATAATCACAACAAAGCAGAGGCGTTGGTGGTGGAAGTGCCTCGGAGGGGCCGCAGGCTCCCCGGCCCTGTGGTGGCGCGGGCGGAGCGGGCGCGGAGGGGCGCGCAGGGCCGCCCGCACGGCCGCGGGAGCAGCGCCCGCTGCCGCCAGAGGGTCAGGACCATGGACAGGGACCGGGAGCAGACGGGGCCGGCCCCTGACACCCCGCGAAAAGGGGGTGAGCGAGGCTGCCTGCCTCCACGGAACGCCGACGGCCTGGGCTGCTCTGTTTTTCTTGCAATCCCTTGCGTGTTGCTGCTCACATTTCTAAGCAAAATACTTGAGAAATTACATTTATAATTCTCCTTCAGGATAGCAAGTTCTGTTAAAATGCCATGATAGGGATTTCTCTTCTTACTGCCCACAAAAGAAGTAAAAGGATCTCTCCATTCTGCATACGAATGCTTTTTCCCCTTCAACTCCGAGCCAAAAATAAACCAACCTACTGCTCGGATCGGCTGAATGACAGTGGTGTAAATTAAATTGATTTTATCAGTGACCAAGTTCCACAATTGGAAAAATTAAATGCCACTTTGACAGACAAGGATAATATGGAACAGATCTATAAAACAGTTCCTTTGAACAACAACAACAACATCAACCCAACAGGAGTCTAGATACTGGCGAACCCGTCTTCTTCATCCCGCTTTGTTATGTCACATCATCTAGTTTGCCTTTCTGCAGAACCGAAATGATTGAAACCATTATTTGATGCAAAGGGACTAGCGATGATGAGTCATGGACTTTATGCCACAGCAAAGGCAACAGACATGATTCTCAGGCAAATTTCTTTTTTTATTTTGATCGTACTTTTAATTGGATTCCCTTTTCAGATGCACTTTGTGGCACTTTCAAGCCACCCCACAGCTCCAGCAAACTCAGGGCTGAGCTCCGGGAAGGACAAACCGCTCTACCTCAACCTAAGAATTGAACAAATGCAAATTCCAAGTCCTTTAGCTAGGAAAAGCCCTTCTTCTGCACCTGCCGCCGGTTCCTTAAGGGGAGAGGAGGCCTTGAGCCACCTCCGCCCTTCCTGCATGCCCTAGTTCTGCCCGGCCCGGCTCGGCTCGGCTTGACTCGACTCGCTGTCCGCTCGATGGGGCCTGCCTGCCGCAGAGACACCGCGTAGCTCCGGGGCCGGAGGAGTGAGCTTTCTCCGCAAGGAGAGCGAACCGCTCCTGCCCGCTGCCCGCCGCTGCCTCTCCGGGACGGGCGCAGTGGGAACAAAGCCCGCGGGGCACTGAGCGGCCTGGCCCGGCTCCGTCGTGCTCCCGGCCTCTTACTGGGCTCCAGGGTGCTGCGGGCGGGAGGCTGGGGCGGCGCTGGGCCGCGGGGCGCGGCGGTGCCGCAGTGAGGGGGGGTCGGCTGCCGTGCGGGAAGGGTGACCTCTGGGTGAGCCGACGATCAGGCTCCTCTTCCTCGCTATGACTGTACAGATTCATGTGACATTGAGGTTGGGGAGGTGGAAGGAAGGCGGGGGAGTTGGGGGAGAGGACCCGGAGGGAAGGGGGAGGGATGAACTTTCTGCCGGGCTCGGCTTTTCACACCTTTCTCTCCTGATGATGCGTGAGGACGTTTTGGGAGAGAGTGGCTTGGCGGGGTCCCCTCCGAGCAGGTCCCCCTCGACCTTGAAGGGACCTGGCCGGGCGGCGCGGGTCTGGGATTGTGCCGGGTTTCAAGGACACGGGAGATGATCAGGACTTTGGGAGCCAACATCTGCCTGGCTGGTGACGTCAGCAACCCCGTGTAATCCTCTTGTACTGAAGGCAGATGCCTTATTTGTTTGGCTGGAGAGGCATTAATCCCTAATTCTGGAGCAGCAAGCGAGGGGGAGAGACCGGACCGCTTCCTATCCCCCGAAAGCAGCTAGCGGGGCTCTCCTCTCCTGCTCTCCGTGGCTCCCACTCGGCGGAGGAGCCGTCCGCCCCCGGCAGGTTTGACCATTTTCTTTTTGATTATGATTTTTTTTTTAGTATTCGGAGTGGTTTCTTTTTTCTTGTTTTTGTTTGAATGGTTGGATTTCCCCCTATGGATTTAGTTCTTTGCTCTCGTACGCTCTTCAAGCCGAGAAAGAAGGGGGAACTGCTGCTCCCCACCCCCCTCCACACACTTAATTTTTTTTTTTTTCCCATTTTAAGCTTTCCCCTCTGCTTGTTCTCCGGGGATTTTGCAGCGGCGGGCAAGGAGGTTGCTCTCTGTGGTTGCCCGCGGCTGGTCCCTTCCCACCTCGCTGCAGAGACCCAGATACCCGCTCGCCCCGGCGCTGCGGTGATGGGCGTTTCGCCCTGTGTCTCCTCGGTCGCGGACCGAGCAACCCCACAGGCTCGGGTCTGGCCGGCCTCAGCTCCGCGTCAGTCCATGTGGCCCCCCTTCTCTTCCCTTCCCTTCCTTTCCTCCCCTTCCCTCCCCGCCCTTCCCCTGCTCTGACTCCCCCCTCTCTTCCTTTTGTCATTGGCAACCGCGCGGCGTGCGGTTCCCGGCACCCTTCCCTCCCCGCCTGCCTTTCCTTTTCCCCCCGCCTGCCTTTCTAACGCTCTTGCTTTGTCTGTTTTCCAGGCGGTCGCACGCAGAAGCTGCGGTGCCGAGGAGGGTCGGAACCGTCTGCCCAGTTTGCCCCCAGATGCCCCGGCAAGCTATGGGAAAATCTCTGGGAAGCCCAGCCCGCCGCAGGAGCCCGGGCGCCGCTGCAGGCAGCCGCAGCACATCCCGCTTCGCCTCCTCTCTCTCTCCCGGGCCCTGGGGCCGAGGAAGCAATCGAGGTCAGCCGCCCAGTTCCCGGGGTCCGGCCGTGGTACAGCCCGCAGGGTGATGCAAGGTGCCTGGCTGCTCCGCTCCTCCCCGGCGAGCCATCGTCACCGAGAAGGAATGGTCCCCGTCCTGGGCGGTGAAAGATGGCAAAAAGCGTAATAATAATAAAAAAAGCTTAGGCTGATTTTATTTTTTAAAAATTATTGTAATGACTTCACCCTTCATTTCCTCACTCGCCAGTTCAGTGTAGGCAGGCCAGATGGGCTGCCCAGACCCTCCCGGGAAAGGGGCAGGTGCGAGTGAGTTAAATTTTTTTCCGCTTTACAAAGAAAGATGACACGTTCTGCCCTTTCATTTTTCATCGCCGAAAGACCCCCTCTCCCCCTCCTTCCCCCGGCCGAGAGGAGCGGGGATGCTCTGGAGGTGAGGGCTTCTCCCGCCCGTGCTCCAGGGAAGCCGCAGGACCAGGCGGACCGAGGCAGCCGGAAAGAACGGTCATCCCCTTGAGCCAGGGATGCCAAATCACAGACGTCGAGTCGGGGAGAGCCAGCTCCTGTGTTTAAAATGACTCGAAGACGCTGGTGAAATTAAAGCAGTCACCTGGAAGTGTGTAGTAGACACACGCCTAATTTCTCTCCTTTTTTTTTTTTTTTTTTTTTTTTTTTTTTTTTTTTTTTTTTTTTTTTTTTTTTTTTTTTTTTTTAAATCCATTAAGTACATATTTAACAGCTTCTTGAGCATTGCAAACAACAGACCGGCTAGTAAGAAAATTCGAGCATGAGTTACATGCAGCCCGGGCCAGGATGGGACTAGGGCAGAGTGAAATCACCGGGGTTTTTTTCGGGGATCAGTTGTTGTTCTGCTTCCAGAGAGAGAGAGAGAGAGAGAGCGAGCGCTCTAAGGCTCTGACTCTCCGTGTTCACAGCGGACCTTGATTTAATGTCATACAATTAAGGCACGCGGTGAATGCCAAGAGCGGATCCTCAAAGCAGCATGAAAGATCTCGCTAGAACATACCATAACAAAGACGTTAATAATAAAAGTAATAGAAAGCTGAAAAATTTAAAAAAATAAATAAATAAAAAGGAGAGACAGAGTAATAAAGAGCTCGACAACCTGTACTCACCTACGGAAACCGAGACTAACTAGGACTGGCTTACTGATCGGCTCAGCCCAGTGGAAAGGAGACGTCGCTGCCACGGGACGGGCGCCCGCGGGGGCAGCTGTCATCAGCAGGTAACGGGGCCGTGGGGTAACTGGAACTGGAACGGTGGGGTAGTCGTGGTGGTTTTTCAAGGTAGTGATGACTCGACCTCTTGCTTTCTTGGGCTGAACCATGTAAAGTCGATTAATGGGAAATAAATACATTTTCTAATATTATCATCGCGAGGATTGTTCTTTGCTCATCGCCCAGCCGGTAGCTAGGGGTGCCCGCTCGGTAATGGCTCCTCCTCTTGCGGGGCTCCTCTGGAAGCCGAGAAACGCGGGCCCCGGGGCAGCGGAGCTGTGCGCGGGCGGCAGCGGAGCATCGTCTGTGCCGCGGGCCGGCAGAGCCATGTGCGGCGCTGGTGGATGGGTTCGGGGGATGCTGGAGGTGTGGCGGGGACATTGCAGCAGAGCCGTGTGCGGAGAGGCAGCCGGGATGCGCGAAGAGGAGTGTGCGGCTGTTGCGAAGGGGGAGCGGGGGAGAGTAGCATACGGGGACGGTGTGGGGTGAGCGGCGCGGAGCGGTGCCGGCGGGCAGCGAAGCGGCGTGCGGGCTTTGTGCGCGGGGCTGGGCGGCAGGGCGAGGCGCAAGGCGGCGGCTTGCGAGAGCGGAGAGGAGAGGGGCGGTGGCGGGGTAGCGTGTGCGGGGCAGCTTACGCGAGGGAGAGGGTGGCGTGCGCGGGGACTGGGGCGTGTGCGGCCGGGGCACCGGAGAGGTGGCTCCGGTGGAGGCTACGGCGGTGGCGGGGCCACGCCAGAGGGTGCGGGGAGGGGGCGGGGGCGGGGACGGGAGAGGCCGGGGTCTCCGCTCCGTCGGCGGCGGAAGTCTTTGTTCCGCGGGGCCTCGGAACAAAGGAGCGGAGGGACCGCGAAGGGGCCAGGTGGGGGCCGGGACCGCGGCCGGCGCTGTCCCTGGTGCTGGCAGAGTCGCCGAGCTGCCCGACGCGGGCAGCCAGACCACCTGTTCCCGGTCGTTCAGGCATGTCCCGGTGGCACTGGGTGGCCCTCGTGATGGGAGCGTTCCCGACGGAAGAAAACCTAGTATCCATGAGGATACGGCAGGAGAGCGGCTTGGCCTGTGCCTTCGTGTGTGCGCAGTGCAAAGCCGCTGCCCCGGAGGAGTCTCCCGGCGCATCCCTCCCGTCGAGCCCTTCCCACCCCCACTCTGAAACAGCCGGGTTGGAGCAGGTCCTGCGGGGGCTCTGTCACGCTCCCGTCCCGGCTCCGTTCGCGGCCATCTGCCACGGCCTAATTCTACTCTGCCGTCTATCAAACGGCAGCCACAGCCAGCCAGGGCAGGGGATGCTCTCAAAACTAAATAAGGCAAAACAACTAAGAAACAGCAATAACTACAAGAACTATAATGATAACAACACCATCTGCCTGAAGGTCGTAGAGCTTTGTCCTCCTTCCTATTGCGCTCAGGAGACAGCGCTGACTGCAGTGAGTTTTTTACCAAAAAACTGGATTGCAAATTGGACTGATCATCCTTCTCTGCAAAGGGATAGAAGAGGAGAAATCCTGCTTTTCCCCCAGCCTCTTCATTTCCTTGTAATCATCCTTACGCTGTCCAGTAGACAGATGAAGTACATGGGCTACTCCATCCTTTCTCTTCAGCTCAGCGAGCTGGGGAGGAGTCTTTCTCAACACACTGCCTGCTCCTGCCATGCCACATAGCTTCTCTCATTTCTTGCTTTTGAGATACCTGTTCACATACATACATCTATCTGCACGCACATATGCACATTTGCACATCTTCTGTGTACCTTCAGATTGCCCTAATTTCTATTTATAATTTCTTCTTGTTTATGTGTCCTTTGTAAGACCCAGCACCTCCCAGGATCTGAGGAGAGCCATGCAGAAAACAGAGGAAAGTCTTCACATGTGTGGGCCAGGATGATGCACAGCTGAGATTAATCCTCACGCAGGTAGAGAGCAGGGAGGTCTTTTAAATGTGTTGTGTCCTGAGCAAGCTGAAGGACTCAGCTAAACTCTTTGCAGGATTACAAATGTGAACTGACTACCCCTGCACTAAGGCATTATCTCCACCACATCTCACTTCTTCTGATTTTCTCGGAAATCAATGCTAAAGATTTGGTATAAACATTCTGTACTTCCCTAGCAAAGGATACATAATATTTAAGCGAACCTGCTACTGCCAATCTCTCAATGTAGTTTTAAAAATATTTCTTAATGCTTGGAAAGAAATGGAACTGTGGAGTAGACGGAGGTTTCTTGGAAAGCTTCCAGAAACAGGGAACCTTCCTACTTCTAATCTACAGTATCAATAATAACAGTGATTATGATGATGATGGAGCACATAAAAAGTGGATGTAAGGAAGGTCTGAAGACCCAGGTGATGAACTGTGCCATCTAGAGCCATGTGTTTCCCCTTCCGATGTCACGTTGCGGCCGTAGGCGTGTTGAGGTCTTGGTGGTGGCATCTGAAAGTAACCTGTATTTAATATTCACCACTTGCCGTCTTACTCCAAAAACAGAAAAAAAACCCTGCTCTCAGCAATTTTTCTTGGGAGTAGTCTGATTTCCAAGGCTGCTCACGGGGACGAGCAGGGAGCACGGCCTGCCAACCTCTCCTTGAGTTAGAAGAAGACACCCACGCCCTCCCACTGCCCCCCCTCCCTCGACTTTTTTTTTTTTTTTTTTTTTTTTTAATTGTTTTTCGGTTTTCTCTCCTTAAGTGACTCCTGCCTGGACCCAGGGGGGCAGAGCCTGGCCCCAGGACGGCCCCAGGACTGCCCTGGGCGCAGCCCCGGCGGGGCCGGGCGGGATGCGGGACGCGGGATGCGGGACGATGCGCCTCCTCCGCCGGCGCTGCCGCGACACCTGGCGGTCGCGCACGGAGCAGCGCCCAGCGCAGCGCAAGTCCCGCGCAAGCCCCGCTCAAACCCGGCGCGGGAGAACACGAGAAGCGTCAAGTGCGAACAGTTTAGAGGCAATTGTTCCGGATCAAAAATAACTAAAAAAAAAAAAAGTCATTTTAAAATGTTTTGCAAGGCAGGGTGTGAGAAGCGATCTTTTCGTGCCTTCCCAGTGGGAATCAAGGCTATCTGTCTCTTGTAAATTCAGGTCTGTACAGTATCTGTATGAAAATATGAAGGGAAATGAGCTACTACCTGCTTACTGCAGCTGTTGAGGCAGTCTGGGGCAGCAGTTTCACTCAGGGACAAACGGTCCTACTATAGCAAGAGGCAGACTCGAGGTATTGTCCAGTTTACAGACACAGGCCAGACATTTTTAAAATTTGAATCAGGATAATTAAACGCCGACATTTCATTTTGTTTCACTTGTCATGTACTCAAAGTGGTGGCTAAGAAAGGTGTAGAGCACAGGTAAGTCAAGCAATAAGCAAAACAAACCCTCAACCAGAATAAGCACTGTCGCGCTGTCTCCACCCTGCAGAGATGTTCCAGCAGCAGGATCTTCCCACTAAGAGAAGCAGAGGAGAAGCAACGTGTCTGGTGCTTCAAGGCCTAGTGCACAGCGATGACTGCCAGAGGCGGGAAAGTGGATGAGCCAGCCAGCAAGGTGTGTCATGAGATTAATTTTCACACTCTGCACAAAATTCCTCACATTTCTTTTGTATTGCTTAGCTCCTCTGGTACTGATAAATTACCACAATAACTGAGGAGTGAGATAATAGAGATAGTAATTTGCAGTCTAATGTAAATTAATTTTTATTTAATCAGGAACTGCTTTAATAGCATGTGAGTATTAAGAGTACCACACTACTCAATGCTAAATATTTGTGTATCTGAAATAGTCTTATAAAAACCTGACTAGAGAAGTCCCACAATTAGAAAACAGGGAAGAAATACCAGATCTTAAATATGTTACTAGCATAAAATATTTTAAATTATAAATTAAGGAAAATTTAATTAGTGCTAGAGACCTGTTAAATTAACTTGGTGTACTGTTAGTTCTAAGGTTGTTTTATAATTTGCCATATTAAAGTAATTCTGTTTATAAGGCAATGAAGTACAAGTTGCATGTTAAATAATATTAACTAAATACAACTTAATACTTGTACGAGAGTACTTAAAATGTAATGAGGTTGTTAATTCCATCACTAATAGGTTTTGTATAAGTTTTTGGTACAAGAAAATGCAAGATGAAATACTCAGCTTGCAGCAACTAACTAGCGTATATTTGAACTGATCTTAATGAATGCAGCTGGTAAAGAAGTTAATAAGCAAGACAATACCATTATTTTCTTAGAAATTTAAACAGAGAATTACATAATTATTTGAAGTATTATTACAGTACTTGGAACATGGAAAAACCTGACAGACATAGGTCTTTTCAACTTCAGAGGGTTATGACCCAGCGCTGTGATGTCATTTGGTACAACCTTTATAAAACAACTGTTCAGTCTTTTCTGAGCCTAAAACTTATTCCATACACTATTCCTAGCTCATAAACTAGATCTACTAGAGATACTGAAAGTATTTTTGGACCATTTAAACCATTATTATTTGATTTACTGTTATATGTCCAGTGTATGAGACAATCAACTGAGAGAACATTTTCTTAATGAATGTACAGGTCTCTGTAAAAAGCTCTTACCTTCACGTTGTTGTTTTTCAAACCTAATTAAAAACTTTTTGCTATTTGTCCTTTCCTTAGATAATATATGGTCAGCCTATTAGTATTTCTGGATAAAATGAGAAGAGCACCTGTGACAGGAAAACTAAAGGTACAGCCTTTAAATTTTTACCATTGACACTTCCAAGTAATCTACCAGACTGGGTGAAGTTCATTAAAAATCAAGGGCACAACTTCTTTCAAATTAGAAAAATTCAAATATATCTGACTCCTATTAAACTGAACAGAGGAATAAAAAAAATTATGTTGCTGTCACTAATTAAAGCAATAATTAGTGAGATGTTGACCTATTTTAAAGATTTATAGTTCTCATCTCTCCTCTATAGAGGATTCTAAAGGCCAATCAGAATAAATCATTTCCTTGAAAAGAGTGCCAAAATCCCAAAAGAAAACAGAAAAATCAGTGGGTTTTTCTTTTTTGCATTTCTTTTGCTCAGTTTCAAACAATTAAAATGTCAGGTTCCTCACATTAGTCAAACCGGTGACATCAGCCGTAGATTTCAGGTCACGCATATTTAAGAAATACATAGAAACCTCTCAGGTAAAAAGCAAGAAGCGGTAATTTTATCTTGGTAAGTATAAAATCAAAACAATATATGTGCCTGTTCAGATAGATCTTCTACACTTATATGTTCACAAACTTAATTTCAGAAAGATTGACTTTTTAGCAAGATACTGTACTCTTAGACCAAGAGTCATGTTTAAACAGGCACGGTGAAGATTTGGAGCACATAGGGTGCAACACAGATTTCAAAAGTAATTCCATCCTTCCATAAACGAAGTCTTGATTTAAGATGGCGCTGCTGCACACACTGCAGCCCCCAGCTGTGCTTCAGATCCACAGCTCCATACCGGAATATGAGCCCCGCTAACTGCCAGGACAGGACAAACACTTTGGGACTGCTGAATCCCTTTGAACTGAAGGTTCGTACTACTCACACAGCAACGGGTCTGACCAAGGTCAGTGTTCACTCTATACTCTTAGTGCAGTCAATTAAATGCATCCAAGCGCTTCCTAATAACATATGTGCAATAAAAATAGAGCATTAATCCTGCATAAAGAGAAATAATACATACTAACAGCAGAGTTGGCCTAGAAACACTTTTCTGTATCTATGAAAAATGTAGGACTCCTGGAATATTGTGTGAGAAAGAACACAATTACTTTAAGGACTGGGAATAACAGAAATAGAGCAAAATGTCGCTTGAGAGCATGGAATATCATACTCTGGAATAAATGAAACTGTTCCATGTTGTTAGTTAGGACTACAAGTGTCTGGAAGCAGAGGGAGGAAGAGGACTTGGAGTACTATTTTGTTGCATAATATCTGTATGCCAGGTGTGTGATATACACCTGGGAAAAACAAAAAAAAAAAAAAAAAAAAAAAAAAAAAAAAAAAAAAAAAAAAAAGAAAAAAGCTAGTAGGATACTATTAGAGGAAATTATTTTATGCTGTAACCCTGTATGTAGGCAAGCCTTCATTGGGATTATGTTGCCTCATTAATCGTGGTCAAGCAAAAGGCTACCAAGGTAGTAAAGAGGATGAAGAATCTCCAGTCACGAGCTGATCACAAGAACTTAATTTGTCAGCTCAGCAAAGTGAAGTCAGAGGGAAGGTATGGCAGCTCTTGGCAAATACCAGAGAAGAAACAATTCTAGGATAGACAAAGAAGTAATTCTACTACTAGGATGCTAGTACTAGTGTTACCTTGAAAAAAAAATCCAAAACTCTAACCTAGGCATAAAGGGAAGTAAATTAATAAATAGCCTTCTCATAATCTGGTGGAGGACAAGAAAAAAAATCATTTTAAGAGTGAGTAACTGAATTCATTTACTAGGAAGAGTATTCTGACTATTTTCAACTGAAATCTAAAAAAAAAAAAAACAATATATATATATAGAATAGATCTCAGCCTGGATCAAGAAAAATATTTCATGTGTACTTAGGAGCTCAAAATCTAGGACAATTGTAAAATAAGAGCATGTTTTGAAAGGGAATAGGAAAAAGAATGAGAACAAAAGAGAAAGTGAAAGAGGAAGAGAGAAAGAAACAAGGAGAAACAAAGAAACAGGAAGAAACTGAGAAAAGGAAGGAAGAGAAGTATTTTCAAATAAAAGACAATGTTCACAACAAGGTGTTTTAATCCATTCATTCAAGGTGAATTTTTGAACTGGGTAAATGAACAAAATGTACAATTTCACTGCTTGGTTTCAATGAATCAGCAATTTTTTCTTGCAAATATTAAAAAATCCTAAGTGCACTGCTATAGAAGAACCTGTGTTCTTCTTCGAAGTGTTCCTTCTGTCACTATGCAAAACTTGCATAATAAGATACACTGTAATGTGTCAATAATATTGTAAGCTTACAAGAACAGAAAATCTGGGTATGTTACGGCTGTGCTAAAATTGCTGGAAATAAATTCTCTAAATCAAGGGATTCAAAAGCTTTTATCTTTGTTACTTTTTCTAATTTTAAGCAAAGAGATAAGGCAAATGCAAAGATGACTTGTTTATAGGTTTTGTAGATTGACAGAAGAACATTTAGCAAGGGTTATGATTCGGAACACAAATATATTGTTTTTCTCTGCATGGTGATTTGCATATAGGCATACAGAGATTAAAAATATGAATAAATAAATGCACCCCGCATACCAACTT